TCTTGTCCGAGTCGCGGTCCGCTGAAAACACGAGCAGAGGAAACACGCAACGTTTCCTCGCAACAGCGTAAAGTCATCCGTCGAAGTTTTCGATATCCGTCTGGCGGAAGCGATCCCGTGCAATTGCCTCCATAAAGTCACATTTCAATCGCGTTGGCGCGCGTACTCGTTTATACTCGACGAGGACTTTGCCGCGCGAGATATCCACCAGGAGCTAGAGACGTCGATCCAGGAGGAAAACGCCTAACTGTATATTTCCCCGGAGAATTCGAAAAATCATCGCACCGAGATCATTGATCCTTGATCCTTGTAACGACGCGAGGCCTCCGGGATCCTCGTTTGCCGGAATGATTTTTTGCCTTTCCGCTCGATCGATCCTGACCGGCGCGCGGCTCGGCGCGGCGCGGCGCGGCGCGGCACGGCCGCGCGGTGATCTCAGCCGACTCCCACTTCCTCGATCACTCCGTCGAGTAACCCCGCGGCGTAATCCAACTCGGCACGCACATCGGAATCCAAACGCACTACGTTATAGGATCGCGATCGTATCGGCGAGGCGGCGACGGCGGCGGCGACGACAACGATGGCGCGGTGGCCCGGGATACGCCCGTGATTCCACCGGAAATCTCCCGCGCGATAATCCACCGTGATGTTCGAGATGGATTTTATCTCGCGTGACCCATTCGCGCGGCAAACTCGTCCGCGACGAACCACGCCTCGTGGCATAGGCGCCGAGCCGAGCTGAGACTAGAGACGTATTTTCGGAACGATTGCGGCCACAAAGTCCCACGAGAGTCCTGTTCACAACATCAAAAACATCGGTTTTTCAATGCATATTGATAACATCCGACCGACACTATTTGGTCACGATACCGATATGATCTCTCCCGTGCATTTCTTTCCTTCTTTCTGATGATCGTTTGCTTTGTACACTTTGAGTTCAGAAGTCGAGGGATTCTCTTCACACAAAATGAAAAATACATATTATAATGTATCCTATATGATGACGAGTTACGGGAAGCACAGGCTTTTAAGCGAACGCGAGGGAAACGATTGAGACTTCGATCTGTGTGCAGATCTTCCATCTCGCGGGGTAAGAGAAGAAGGGGGATCTCTCTCCTCCATCGTGCCCTTATCCATTGAATTGATCATCTTCAACGTCGATAACTTGATTGTCAAGGTAATGACACGGCAGTAATCAACGGTAAATTTAATTAAACGGTAAAATTGCACTGTCAATCGACACTTTTCGACGAAATATCTGTACGTCCATGCCTCGCTGTCATTAAATCAATAAACTCCGTTTCTAATCCAGCGCGGATCGCGGGACTATCGGTTAACTGTCCGCAACGGATCGATTGATGATTGACCGACGGACCACAGGGCGGGAATGCTCCGTATCGAGACTCAAGGTCGAGAATGCAAGGATCGAGTGGCGCAAAATAGCGATCATCGACTCCGATCATCCGGTCCCGTTTCGATCCTGCAGGTTTCATAGGAGATCCAAGGAAGAAGAAAACTCATCTCGTATCTCGGATTTTTCCTTCTACCGTCCCCATCCAACCACTAACACCTCGAATATCCTCGATTATTATTTATCTGGATGATCTTCGAGAGTTGGTCTCGATTGTTCGGCCGACAGCGAAATGAGAGAGCAGGACGGTCGGCCGGATGTCGTGTTCGAAGTCGGCGCGAGCGCGAATCATCGCCCTCCTCTCGTCTCCCGATCTTCCCCTGCCTCCCCTCCCGCTCAGAAAAGTGAAAAATCGACGGAATCGCGACGATCCCTGTCCTAGGACAACTTGACACTCCTGCTCGTCCAAGCATCAGCGAGCGACTGAGGGGCTGCAGACAGCGGGCCCAGAAACGGGGCCCGCCACGCCACGGCCCCGGCTCCACGAGAGCCCCCCTCGCGCCGTGGTCTCTCTCAGGACCAGTTCGGTCGCTTCGCCGCTGCGAAGGAAGGATGCTGTGTGCACCGGAGGACTCCCCACCCGCGGGGAATCTATGTCCTACGTTGTGCATTCCGCGTCCTGCGCCCCGTCGAAGATCGGGAGAGGGTCTTCCCCACCTGATCTCGGCGCACGCATTTCGCGCCCTCGATCAAGACGCACGGGAAAGATCGCTCCCGTGTCTTCCGGCGCGCGACGCGCACCGCGAGATTTCGTCAATCCTTTAAGGACTAACAGTATTCTACTGTCGCATGTAAAAATATTTTGTACTATTATTTTATATGTAGGAATATCTAATATTAAAACTATTTTTTTCGAAGAAACGTTAGTCAGAAATTTAAGCTTGAAGAATTTCGATAAAATATATTTACAGAAAAAAAACTTTGAGAAAAATAAAAGTGTGATTTGTAGTTAAAAAAATGTTTTACTTATTTAAAATTTAAGATAACAGAATATCATTAAAAACAATTATATTTTAACATTTATAATTTATAAGCTATTTTTAACCAATTAAATTTCGAACGAAATATCTCATATTTCAATATCTGTTTTCCTTAAATAAATACTCTAAAATTATATTGAAATTAACATTACATACATATATATTGAATTAACATATTAATAAATATTTCAAATAAATATTAATTAAATTTTTTTTAAACATTTGTCTCCCCTAAGAAAATAATAAAAATTTAAAATAAATGCAATAAAAAAGTAGTTAATGTATAGATCTAGCGAATTATTTTCTACTTATAGATTCTTTAACTCAATCTGAATTTTCATTAGTGATTTTGCTCCAGATAGGAGTGCAAATATATATAACTTTGTTCTTGCTTCTAATTAATAAAGTGTAACTTGATACTTGAACTAATTTATATTACGCTTTAACGCATGTTAATCGCCGCAGTAATATATTCATGTGAATCAATGGCGAGTTAATTAATTAATTAGTCGTTCTCCGAACGAAACAAGCTCATAAATAAGGGTAGTCAATATGAACAGGCGTAATAATTCGTTTATAGTGAAGCCGTGGATTCGCTAACTCGTTTGTCCCCTACCTCCGTTGCTGTTTGTGCTGCCAATCGCGTCATGTGCCCCCTGATGGCCCACCTGGCCCAACCTCTTCGCATCCGACGGGAGCCAATCGCGTGTCTAACGTGCGATCTAATGCTACGCTCGTAACGGGTGTCGAAAGTGGAGGGAGATCGTCGCGCTTACGAGTCGCTTGGCTCCGAGCGATTTTAGATCGTCGCGCCGGCCGTGCGTCGCGCGATCGTACCCGATACTGGGCGATCGCTATCGCTCGCTATTGCCGCGAACTCGGGATCTCGTTTCGAAATTGGAATTCCTCTTTGAGCGCTCCGAGAGAAACGAGATCTCGATTTTCCACATTCTAAACCTTTCGCGCGAGCAATAAAATCGATACCAGATGAACAAACAAGCTTTTCAGAGCAGGAACTATTCGGTGTCTTTTATTTACATTTAATGAGATATATATAGGTACCTATATATATATATACATATATATATACACACACACACACAAATAGAACATGTCGTGGGTATTTTAGATTTTTATATCTTTTTTTTCAAATTCTTGAAATTGTGCAACAGCTATACATAGTATATATTTGTGAAATTAATCGATGAGATAAACATTAGGTTTTTTTTTGTATGCAGACAGAAATCTTCTTATCCCCGTAACGCGAACATGTCCGTGAAATCATTTTTCGCGAGAGCTCGTTTAATATCTTGCAAATTAAAGTTTTATAAGACACGGACGCGCGAGCGCACGGGAGCGCTCTCCTCTCTTTTTCCTTCCCTTTTTTAAACGTGTGTATACGTGAGATTGGTCCAGCTACGGGAATCAGGTTCGGTAACTTGTCCCATCCATCACTAACCCCGGACAGCCAGATGTTCGCAGGGGGTACAATGGTCGGTATAAGGTATTACCCCCTTCGTGCATAATGCCGCCAGCAGAAATTATCCAGGGGCACCCTCCGCGCACGGAGGCCGCTCGCGGACGTAGAAAATTTTGGATTTTACGTCTGGTAGGATCTTTTCTCCTACTGTGCGACGCGGTCTCCTGATGTCTGTTACAGAAGCCGCGAAAACTGCTTCCCCTCCCTCCATCCGGGTGATCTGCTACGCGAACGCAAGACAGGGCGTGCTGCGTAAAACGGGAAATCCTCGACATGCGGATGATGGGAAGAATCAGTTTTGTCTCTTCAATCTTGTTGCTTCATTTTTTATTTTAGGTCGCTCATGTAGCGTTTTGTGCCGAATGTTTCGAACGTTTCGCAAAATTGCAAAATGCCAAGAAAATTAAATGTAACGGAATTAATTCTAAAGTGTTGGGCTTGATGGAGCGCTTGTTTAAACGTTTGCGATGAAATACTGTTTAGATCAAGGCGTCATATAGCGTCTGCCCCCCTTCCCTTTCTGTCTCTTTCGTTCTTCGAATTTATTGTCTCTCATTTCGAGGAGCATCCCCTGCAAGAGACAGAGTTTGCCGCAGGTGGTACAGCCCACGAACGGCGCGGCGCGTATATGCGTGGCGTTTTCGCATCGTATAACGTCGCCGCTGACCGGTTCGGGCCCCACCGTGCTCTCCACCGATTCACCGTGGGAATGAAGCTTTCAATTAACCACGATGGTCGCGGGCTAACGATTGAGCGGCGATCGATCGATCACGCTGGTTGTGCCGGGGAATTAGTCTTCGAATAATTCCGGAAAATATGACGCGTCCTTCTACCCGAAATACCGAAGACCACGAGCATGGAAACTCCGTCTCTGTGCGATTTCTTCCGTGAAATTTGCAATTTCAGCGCGCAATCTATGCATTCTCATTATTCTCAACTCGCGAGATCGTAAAGTTTCAACGAAAAATTTTCGCGGGAATATCTTTGCTCTCAATCGAGAATTTATTAGCACTAGAATTTATTATCCGTTTTTACCTTGATTTGTTGAACGAAGAAATCTAAAAATTTCTCACGCTAATCATAAATTGTTGTATATTGTATATACATAGGATTTTTATGTTCTATCAAGATTATTCCACGGAAATGGCTTCTGTCGTCTACCCCGCAAAAGGCCATCGACGAGGAACCCGAGCAATCCGACGCGCAGAAATTTCGACATCCAAATTGTATAAAAATCAAAACATTTCCGTTAATATCAAAGCAGATCTATTCGGGGGACAGATTCTTACCGTGCCGACGCGGTTACAGTTTCGAGATGGCTCATTATCTATTAAGAAAGAACGATAAGGTGGAGAATACGCACATAATAGATGTTTGTAAAGAGGTATGTGCAAAACGATACATACATTCACGGTTCCAATTGAGTATACAATAGTATTTTGATTCTCTTAAAAAAATAGGTTGATTCGTTGGATGTTACCTATCGACGTAAGGCTTTGCGTGCGATGATAATAGAGCGGGTTTTAATGCCAGGTAATGTTTGAGTGTAATAAAATTAATATCCATATATCTAGTTAATTGTATATTCGTCAATAAATATATGCTAGTTAATAAATGTAATTAATATAAAAGTGTCCTTGCGTAAATCTGTTTATTATTTATTATTTTCTAAATAAAAAATTTTAAAAGTCACTTCAGACGATCCATAATTCATATCAGTTTTTAGGAAATAAAATTCTATTTATAATTCTATATGCTCTCTTGTATTTTTTATGTATCGTTGCTTAGGATTTTGCATGTATTTTTTGTTTTTCGAGCGCACAGTGAAATTAAAATTGAATATGCTTCTCGACAGAATTAGATCAGGACAAGATTTTACGCTTTAGCGGCTCGATGGTGCGGCCTCGGAACCCGCCGCGTCCGGAATACGAAGAGAAAAAGGGAAGCTGGAAATGCGCGCCGCGTAAGAGGAGCCTGATAGGAAGCGCCGACAAGATGTTGTCTATACCCGATCGCTTCCCTGATTCGCTGAGTACGTTTGCGATCGCGCGATTTCGAGAGTAATTCAGGCTCACCCGTTAAGTATCCGTATCACTTACAAAGACGACTTTTGCTGTTGAAGGTAATAACAGCAAGGCGGTCGATTGGAGCTGCAACGACATGATCGCCGTGACTGATTACGATCGCCTGAATATATACGACAACAACAGCGAAAAGGTGTCATCGTACAGAGCCAACACGGATACCGATTCCGTTGAAATCACCGACATTAAATGGGGCGATGACGGTGAGTACAGTATATTCAAGCGCGGCACGAAGTGCTTAACCACGTGTCGCACGCGAACAGCGGTATTCTCGAATAATTTGACACCTGGTAACTATAACTCTTTTTACAAGCTACATATTTTTTATATCACGTTTGACAGAAGTTCAATAGGTGTAACAGCAAAAATAACGTTTTGTTGCGCTTGTTGAATCATTAAGATCCGTCGACAGGAAGTAGAAAATAATCGTACGTGTCTTATTTTATAATCGTGCAGACAATAATACGAGTCCATGTGATTTTAGGTAATAAATTGATAATGTCCGTCTACATTCCTATTGCACACATATCGACGCTCACGATGTACGATTTGAAGAAGGAGAAGATCTTGTGGGAGGTCACTTGTGAATGTTGGTCTTTGTTCGCTGAAGCAGGCTGCGTTATGCGCTGCATCTGCTGGTCAGCTCGCGATCGTCAGATCGTCACGTGAATATCGACTCTATGATTAATCCTTCGGGTATATCGAGAATTAATCCTTTGCGGCCGTTGTGCATTCATACTCTAATTACACCCTTGATTATGTCTAATTATACTGCTCATTATTTTTTTCCGAGCGCGGATCGGCCAAAAAATTTAGCTACCTAGAATTAACAATCAATGCTTAAGATAACAAATAAAATTCATTTATCGCAAATCATTACGTGTGACATTTAAAAAGATATATTTTCCATATATTTTGATCGTAAGATCGTTTAAAATAAGCTTATTCAGCATATCGCAATCTACAAACCGGATAATCGTGAAATACATACAAACGAGACCACATTATAATAGATTGTAATAATAATGATATGTATAATTGAAGAAGTATAATATTATATATATCGCAGCGGATGCAACAGCAAAATATCAATGTTCGACTCTGGCACGGGCAAGTTTCTGTACTCCAAGCACCAGCATGATTCTGACATCCTGACCCTCAGTTTCTCGCCGAATTTCAAGCATCTTGTATCGACCGCGCAGGACAGACTCGTCCGAGTGTTCGCCTGGCCAGAATTAACGCCCTGTTTCAATATCAGATTCTACAAACCTATAAAGGTAGGCCGAGAAAAACGTTGTCCAGCACGTTGATTTTCTGTCTATTTCGAATATCGCTCGCAATTAGAAATGAATATTAATCTACGGTTATCTTCGGCTGTGCCGATCACTCCGTTTCACATGAATTACATTTTTTCCAACGGACAAGCGGTGACAGAAGTGTAAAGTGCTCGTACTTGATTTGCCAGGCGGTCGCCTGGCATCCGCAAGTGCCCGACTTGCTTTGCCTAGGCGGGAGAAAGAACGGATCGTTGTCACTATGGAACGTCAACAAATGCGCGATGATGGCCCACGTGCGCCCCAAGTTCAATGGTTGCGTGGAAAATCTCGCTTGGAATAAGTTAAGCGGCGAGTTGATCGTACATTGGACTTACAAGGAGGGGGACAACAAATATACCATCGTCGCGGTGCTCGCCAGTTTCAATCGGATCGTCGACGTGCTGCCACTGGATAAAGAAACGCAGCTCTCCTTCTTGAAGTTCAACGCCACGCATGAACGACTGAGTGCGTAAATCTTATTTTCTTTTTTCTTTTTTGAAGCAATTTAAAAGTAAGTTTAAAGGAGTCCACATAGTGCATTTTAACAAATTGTCGTTTGTGTAAAAGTTTTGGAAAAGCGTTCGATTTTAAAATTTTTCAGAGGATATCATTGCAAATGAAAATAAAATCTGATTTTTTTCACCAAAAAAAAGCATACTTTACTATTAAGAATAAAAAATTACTTTTATTTTGTTAAAATCGATAAAAATCTTTTGTGTTGAGCTTTAAAATATGCAATTAATAACAAAATAATTAAAAAGATATGCAAACGTCATTGCGCAAACTAATTGTAAGCTACTATACAGGAAATAATTAATTCATGGCAATTTAATTAAACATTTCAATTATAGATTGAAATCATTTCTAATAATAGATAATCAGTGAGATTAAATCTTTGAAAGTCGCTATTATGATGTCAGACAAGATAATAAATCTTGTAGCCACAATTTATTTGCTCGGAAACAATTACTTCTTAAGTTTATTTTTAAGTATTTTTAATGTTGTAAAAGATTTTGAAATCTTGATAATCTCCTAAAGTTTTAATTTACCCGCAATTTTGTCTTTTGGAGTCACGTAATGATTGTTACAGTAACGTCTGTTACAGTAACGTTTTGCAGCAACAACGTCTGCTCGATATGGAATTTTTTTGGCAACGAGAAATCATTTCAAGGACAATGTACGCGTCACTGCAGTTCTTCACAGAGGAGACAAGGAGTCATGGTCCACAATCCGATTAGATAATTTATTTATTCCAAACACTTTGGATGATCTATAATTCATGATATATATCATGAATAATGGAACATCTGTTATATCATAACATCGTGATTTTGTATCTGCGAATGTCATCGTCGTCATCGGTTTCTTCGTCAGTAAGCCTAATCGATGCTTAGTCAAACCCTTTTGAAGAGTCGTCTTCTATAATGACGCCATCGTCTTCAAAACATTCAAAGATAATATCTGCTTCCATCTGTTATCCACGTATATGTCAACCTCGCAGTTATGTCTTGCTAGTACGTCTCGTATTCGAATACCGTGTGATATCGCGTGTGAGTCATCGTCGAATCAATCGATGAATTTCCTGGTGAAATAAGCTTTTCGTTTAAATTCGAAGTACTAGCGAAATTTTGTCACATTGATATAGTTTCGTGGCATCGTTTATGTACAAATTTTATGAAATTAAAAAAAAAATGTTTCTTATGCCCATGAGTTCCAATATTTTATAATCCAAAAGAATCAAATTTTGAAATAGTGTACAGAAAATTGTTGTTTTAGTTTCTTTATTTGAAGACTTTTAATGCATTTGATTTTAATTCACAAAGAGATAACAAATTGGAGAGAAAACGTTAATAAATTTTACAACGCTATTGGTGTTACACGGGCATATCAAAATGTGTGTATATTAGATGAAAATTTATGTAATGCGGCGAGATCGAATATAGGTATAGGCGCAAAATTACAAACAAGTATCGTAGGTCGTAAAGGAGCTTGTTCCTAAATGACCATCGCTGCCGCAATTAACGCGACGCACAGCGCAGATAATTGCAGTTCGCTAAATCTAATGGCGCTAAGAAGCCATTTAGAAGCGTTAATTTAGCGACGATCGTAAAACGTAATTTTCGCACCGCGCCGCGAACAGTCGACTATCTTGCAGTAGATCGGCAGCGGGCCGCCGGTGCAAGAAAGATTCAACGTTGATCAACACGCGATATGTCGCTCGGCATAGAGGACTGAGCCTACGGTTATCCTCAACTTTTCGGATTCGAGTCGTTACGCTTGATACGATTTAGCGCATAATTAAGTAAAGGTCAAAGGAAAGGAACGACGCGTTTAGGCGAAAGAAATCGCGAATGCTGGTCATTTGTTTGGACGAATGAATTTTTTCCTGTTGAGCTTTTGGGTACGCAAACTTGCATGAATATTTCATTATATATATAATGTCATTAAGTAATATTTTCTCTTGATTTTATTTCATGCGAATGTCGGTTTTTTTTTTATTTATTACACGATATGACGAGTTTGAAAATTTTTCATTTGGAATCACTCTTGATTTCTTTCCTTGATATGCATACAGTCTAGCTGAGAAAAGTTAGTTTCTTTATCTTCTTCCTCTTCAGTGAATAATATTCATTAAATTTAGACAACAATTTCAGTTTCTAATGCAATTAAAAAATTCTGTATTTCTACAGGAAGACGAATCTTGTAATAGTGCATGCATGCCTCTAATTAAATTGCGAAAGTTTTCGTTTTAAATGGTGTAGTGGTTATTAGAGCAACGATTATAATTTTTCGCGTTGAAAACTCTTGCCGAAAAGATATAATAAATAGATTTATATTCATTTTCATTAAAATTGTTTGTTGAAATCATGGAAGTTGAAGGTGTTCATGGGCATCGATTTTTTGATTAGATTTTGTTTAAATTTACTTTCATTTCATTTTCTTGTCGTTATTTTTGCTATTATTTTTTAAATATTAATTTATCTCACTTGTCCAAGCAGTAAACAATTGTTTTGTTATTTATTATCACTTCATCGCTTTGTTCATAGTACCATAATTAATGTATATAAAAAAAATTCCATTTTTATTTCAATTTACTATTTTTGCATAATCAGAGTAACACGTTATCTTATTATTTATATTGGACGATAAGTTTTATATCTGTATTATTGTTACAATCTACATTTAATATTTTTTAAAATGATTGTATTATAACATAATTGAATTAAAGATGATTATTAGCGTCAAAGAAATAATTCTAATTTCCTCGAATCTAGTTAAAAATTTAGGTACTCTCTTTTTAATTCTTTTATTAAATATTCATAATGCTTTATAATTATACAGGCAAAGATCTGCTTTGAAAAGATATACTCCCCTGCAAGCAACACATGCGAGAAAGGATAACGTGAAAAAATTATAAGATTACAAATAAAAGGTCGAACTATTTTTACTTCGAGACGGTCGATTCGCGATTCTACGTCGACCGAGGATTCTTTTTCTTCAGTTTGACGAGTGTATCCCGAGTCCTCGAGAGTCCTTTTAACATCCCCTGCTCGACGTCCCCCGCGTTTCCTGGGCCACGCACACGTGGACGCGCGGGCGCATCAATGACCGTGCGCGCGCTGGCTATCGGCGATGTTGCACGTCCCGGCTCGTCCCAGCCACCCACACACGAACACCCGCTGACACGCGCGGCAGGAGGGTGAGAAGGAGAAGGAGGAAAGGGGAAGGAGAGGAATACATGCGAAGGAACACGCGAGCACGCGACACGCCACGTATAGAGAGAACACGCGCGATTTCGCAACGCGCGAAGAATGCCGCGAGTGCAGCTGCGGGTCGTTCGCTCGCTCGCTCGCTCGACTGCCCGCTCTTCGCTCCTCGGCATCCGGATTCCAACGTGAGGAAACCCCAAGCGGAATCGGATAGAAACCGCCGAGGACGAGATCGGATCGGAGCCCGCGAGGAGAGGTGGTCTACCGAATTCGACCAGGCGTTCGCTCACGGGAAGAAAGAGAGAGAGAGAAAGAGAGAGAGAGAAAGAGAGAAAGAGGGCAGAGAAAACGAGTGAGCCCGAGGGGAAGCCGGAATTCGGTAGTAACGGTATATGGGAAGCGCGGCGTAGGCGGACGTCCTTGATTCCAACGATAGCGATCGAGACTCCTCGCCCCGTCCGTGTCTCCCCGCGGCCTGATTGGGCCGCGACGGAACTGGATTGCAGGACCGGTCGCGCAGTCACGTGTCGATGACTTTAGCAGGAATCGATGACCGAGGGGGAAGTCGTACCCTCCTCCCGATTGGGCCGGAAGAAAAAAATCTCGAAACTCGCGTGTCGTGTTTTACATATAAATATTATATTTCTTGTATGTATATTTTTATATGTATATATATTTTTAAAGTCTCATAAGTGTGAACTCCTATTCCAAATTCCGCCGCAGAGCGAGAAAAGGAGACTCGAAATAGCGGTAGCTCCCGGAAAGAGAGAGATTTGCCGCAGATAAGAGCCGCGAATAATTCATGTCATTGATAATCTTACCGACAAATCGGCGCTACCATTTAAACGATTCCAACATCGATCAACCGCGCATCGCGGAAGACTGACAAATTATTGTCCAACGTAACGTATCGCTTATTAAAGTATCGTTCGCGTTGGAGCGAACCTAACTGTGTGGTAATACTTTCGATTGAATCGTTCAAGGGAAGCAAACTTCTCGCGTATACCGCACATGTACGTAAAAATTGCTGCCTTTCCACAGCAGTCTTCTCCCGCTCAAACTTGCGATTATTTTACTTTAAATAAATTAATAATGCATAAGAATATCCAAAAGTAAATTTGGAGATATATTATTTCGCGTGCAGATCCGCTGAAACGGCGGATTACGATACATCAGATTACTTTTAAACCAAAGTACTGGAAGGTACATGTAATAGCCGCATAACGAAATCGTATAAGATTAATACGCGGAATCGAGCGGTTACGCCTATATAATTATATATGCGGATGGAATACCCGCGTGCGGGGAGTATCCTCCTAGATACACCGGGCAAATTTCACACCGCCGAGGGATGCCAACGGCCCTGGTACTCCCGTTCGTGCGAGAGTGTAAGGATCGTGTCGCGATACCGTGAATTTACGACGGTCACCGAGCGAATCCATTTGTTTCATCTGCATCTGCTTAGCACGCTAATGCCGCTTTCCTCGTATTCCTCGCCTCGCGTCTCTTCCTTTTTCTATTCCGAACCGGGAGCTACTGCGGGGCTCCTTCGAGAGGCGTTACGTTTGTTGAAACGTATAAACGAACCACGTGCACGATAAGCGGAAGCCGCGATATTGTATCGCGAGGACGCGAGAGAAAGATCTACGCGAGAGGAGGATTTTATAAATCCTTCGTATGTTATAAATATAAAAGTTATTGCACTCGCAGCCGCGCGCGGGTATATCGACCTTTTATTGAAATACAAAAATATCTCTCCTCACGTGGGAAAGAGTAGGAAACGTAGAAAGTAACGCCTTGGTTTCTTGCGAAAGCGTGACTTTCAGTTCGTCTCTCTCATTCGCTCAACCTTTGCAGAACTTTTTGGAGAAAGGGGTCCGGCGATCAGAATGAAATTTAACGCAGCGAGATCGGCAGACACGGTTACGGGCAATTAATTCCATACCGTGTTCTCGTCTATGTTTGTTAATACGAAACATATAGCTGCGTTACTTGGAGGACTCTCGTCTAGCTGTTTGCAATCAAAGAAATAATGTCCATCCGCTCCCCGGTAATGATTATATATTCATAATATTCATAAAGAACTTTGCGTCGTTCTTTGCATTCTATCTCACTGTCGCTTTCTATTCATGTCTATTATTATAGAGCAGAATTTCCGTGAAGTTTCTTATTTTGCACATGTGACATATTAAATACGACTTCGACAAAATTCTAATTAACTTAACTGCAGGCGATTAATTTCGAATTATCTATACAGTAAAATTTATAACCATGTAATTCACTGTCTTTAATTTTCACTATCTTTCTTTCCATGGGTTAAACGACGAAAGATTAGTAATTCTTTTCATATTAACAAAATAATGCAGATATTGCTTAATCGTCAACTTATTAAACTAAATTTGAGGAACGTCACCCTTGAATCTTCTTCATTTTTTCAATCAAATATATGTATATATATTTAAACTAATCTATAATTTAAAATTATAAATAGGATTTAACATAGAATTGTATTAATAATTTTATATGCCGCGTAATAAAAAGAGCTACTCAAGGAATTAAAATGTGCAGACTAATATAATATATATATAAAAATACATGCATAATCAAAATACTTTTTGGCACATATAAAATTATAATCAGAATTCTGTCTTAAAATCTGTTGCAAATTAGATCGTCTGAAGTTTATATATATAAATACGTGTATTTAATTAATTATTAACGATTTTAATTTTTAATTGCCATCAACTTGGCTGCAGAGAAATAGGCTACAGAGATGCTAATGCGAAAAGGATGCTATATTTTATTCTATTTGGACTAGTATACTTTATAACATTAAAAGCGCGACCTAAAGAGTTTTCAGGTATCGATCACAGAACCCCGGCTTTGCCGACTGCCTCGGAGTCAAGTAATTCGTCATCCTGGATCCCGAGCGCGAGTGAACGTTGCCTTTGCATTCTGCAACATCGATCGAGTCATGCTGCCACGACATGC